TCTCAACGGGAAAGACTGCAAAGGGTCGGGATGAGATAGGAACTGAGCCAAGTGCTCCGGCCAAGAGCACGCATTCATACTGGCTGCACTTTCACTTTTAGAGGCGCTGCCTGGAACTTAATGCGTTCGGACCATTGTCTCTACACCTCCATTTCTAACCCACTAGGTCTCCTCTCCTCTCGCACTGAGGGGTGTCACAGAGCCCGTTAGCTGATGGGGTAAAACTACAGCCTGGGATTCCATGTTGTGTTTGCTCAGGTCAGCCCGACTCTCCTTTAGAAAACACTGCAGTGTCTCATGAGATTAAAAACCACTTAAAAAAAAAAAGATTTTATTTATTTGTGAGAGAGAGAGAGAGAGCACAAGCAGGGGCAGTGGCAGGCAGTGGGAGAGGGAGAAGCAGACTCCCTGCTGAGCAGGGAGCCCGAAACGGGGCTCCATCCCAAGACCCTGGGCTCATGACCTGAGCCGAAGGCAGACCCTTACCTGACTGAGCCACCCAGTCGTCCTAAAAACCACTTTTATTTCCCAAAGAAAAAGACCATCTGCGTAACAGTGTTGTTCCAAAAGCGGAATCCCTAGTTACACTTTTCGGTATGGACGTGGGGGAGGGGGTAATCTAGCATTACAGAGACCCTTAGGTAGTAGCTACACGCGTGTGGCAGCTGGATATCCCCTGATATTGCTGTTTCCTGAAATCAGATCTCTCATGGTCTCCCCAGTAGATAATTCCATTTAAAGTGGGATGTCTTTAAAATCTCTTTATTCCTCAATTTATTACAATGGCCTTTCCACTTGGACATCCAATAAACTATTTGCTATGCGTAGAGGCTTTTATTCCTCCAGAAAAGGAAAATAAATATCTCAAGATTTGTGACGTGGGGCAACCAAGTGTAACCCCTCAAAGGCTTCTCATCATACCTGAATAAAGTCCCAAATCTTTACTATGGCAAGGCAGGCAAGGCATATCCGCAATGCCCCAAGTGAACTGCATAACCTCTGACCAGTGTCTAGGCTTTACCTACACATAGTCTAGTCTAGTCTCCACCACCTCTCGCTCTCCCAGCAGGCTCGCTGATCAGGCATTATGTCATTTCCTCTGATTTCTTTCAAACCCATCTAATTTATTTAAATCTTTTATTTTATTCCAACCAGTAGTTCTCTGTGTTATAGCAGAAGAGAGTCGATTATCATTTTCTGAAACCACTTTAAAAGACTCTTTTACGATGCTACCAAGCCTGTGACAGAAATATAAGGAAACTGACAATCATGTTTAGTTAAGTGGCAGATCCAAGATTTAAACCCAGTTTTGTCGGACACCGAAGCCCCCTTCTTTCAATACTGCATGGGCTCTCAAAATTGGAATTACTTGGTTAAATAAATGGTGCTTGCCAAGAAGATAAAAGTACTTTTAAAAACTGCCATTAGTGATGATGAAGAGTTCCAGCTTAACTACACTTTTACCAGCATCTGGTTTATTAAAGGTGAAAACCTCAAATACACTGTCTTAATTAGTTGGTGCTTACCATTACCAGCAAGGGTAAGCTGTGCACTGTCACTCCTGGTTCTCTCTTCCTGCTTCTGTGCCCTGATGGCGCACGTGGTAGGCCACCTAGGGCACAGCGTGCAGCAAATGAGAAATGAGACAGGATCATAATCCAGGCCTACTTGGAAAATAAATGACTACTTATTACCCGAGATCAATGAAGGAAAAAGTAAATTTACTAAAATATTTCTTTATTTGTTAAGGTCAATGTCATTTCTTGAATTCCAGCTAGCATCAAATAACAATCAGAAAAAAACACTTGACAAAATGTTATCCAATTGAAATTAACAGTGGATAGAAAATCCTTTTAAACTTTAAAAGAAATATATTAAACAGGCAACGTACAGATCTAAAAAATTGCAAGTGGTGATTTTACATTAGATCTTATAAATAAAAAAATCCCCCATATAATCGTTTATTCACTATCTCCCTGCAATAAGCACGTGGACAGGAAAAGATAATCACATCTTAATATTCACAACTGTTATTTAAGTTCTTTACAAAGATTGTTATCTCTGCAACGCACAGGGTGAGGCAATCCCTTATTCAAGTAATCTGTTTTCCCTAAGTTATCAAAAAAGTACAATTGTCTGAGATAAAATGTCACAAAAATCGCAATCAGGAAAGCAAAATGCTTTAGCAGGCAGACTTTGAGATGGGAGTTTTCATGGCTTGACCATGATCTGATGATTTTGTAAGTTTAAAAGCCATCAACCAAAGTACCAAGAGCTACAGGCAACAATCTGGGTTTAGTCTGTGGTTGTTAACAAACCAAGAGTTTTAGTAAGGAGAACATCAATTGTAAGAATAAATGAATCAGTGCACATTTGCTAATGTCATCGAAAATGAAAATGGTATATTATGCTCTCAGCTCAGATTTAAACCAACAAAACAAAATAGTTTTTTTTCCCACTCCCCATCTTAGTGGTTCTCAGACACTAGTGTGCTCAGAATCACCTGAGGTGCTTGTTGAAAAGTGATATTCTGAAGCCCCGCCCCTTAATTTTGATTCAGGTGGTTTGGAATGGAGGCCTGGAATCTGTATGCTTCACAAGCACACCATGACCCACGGACCACACTTCGAGAAACACTGATGTCCCTTTAATACATAACAAAACATTGTTTATTGTTCGTGGCTTCTTAGTAAAGTTTCAAGCTGAATAAAGCATTCAAACAATTAGAACACAAACAGGTACATTAAAAAAAAGTATCAGCAGTTATGTCATTGGATTTCTTTTTAAAAGTGGTATCACAGGAACAATGACTTACACTAAAATTTTAAAATCAATTTTGTTTTAATCCAAGGCACCTGTAAAATACTTGCTGGTGTGAGAGAAGGTAACAAATTTAATTATACAAAATAGTACAGAAATTAAAGAATCCTGGCAGTGATTGATTTTTCCACAGAGCAAACATTTTTCTTCAGAAATGAGCTACTTAAAGTCAATGATTTTGAGGAAAATAAACCGAATTTCAAATAAAATGATGAACAGCCTGCGCAAACTGCTTTACTGAGTGATTTTCAAGTAAATTAAATTACTAAGTAAAAAAGAAAAAGATTCACACATTTTTGTAATAGCTCTCTCCACTTGAATTAGTAACGGTCAGCACAATTCCTCTCGAACTGTCGCCTGAACAATGTCCACTGCACACATACGCCTGGTGTCCCTTTAGTCCGTTCAGGCACACAAGACCATGGAGTTTATAACACTGGATATTTTGCAGCCTTTTATCTCAAGAGGAGTTCCCAACTTTCACAGCCCACAACTTAAATATTCTTCTGAAGGTTTTTGTTTTTTTATTTTCCCCATGGATTAAGAGCAAATCCTGTGATGATGTCTCTGGAACATGAATTTCAAAATGTGAATACCACAAAGGAGAAACACCAGAGAATCATTTTCTCTGTTAAAGTGACTGAAGTAGAGTGCGTCGTCATTAGAATATTCTTACTCAGCATTCCAGGATAAATGCTAATATAATTATAAAGCAATGCTAGGACTGTTTGCGTACACAGTACGAAGGAGGTACTGCCATAATGCAGAGGTCCTCATGGTCTTTGTATAGATTTTAGGCAGTCAGCCCAATCTGTAGATGGCATTTGAGAACAAATTTATAAAGATTTGGAAGAATGGAACGGTACTGTTTTATAAAACGGTATAACTTATTTTGGATTCTGTGACAAATGAAAGATAAGTACTTAGCTAAAAGAGGTAAAAGAGTGTTTTGAAGTCGGCAAACACAGGTCTACACCAGCTGTGAAAACACCAACTCTGCATCTCAAAGTGTCCTTTACAGACCGATTCTGTAACACTTAGGACAACTACGGACAAAGACCACAACGACCCCTTCCAGGCTGACATTTCAAGGTTAAGCTTCCTAACAAGTGCTTCACAATATCCTTAGTTCTGGCATAAAAAAAAAAAAGAAGAAAGAAAAAGGAAAGAAAGAAAGAAAGAAAGAAAAAGGAAAGAAAGAAAGAAAGAAAGAAAGAAAGAAAGAAAGAAAGAAAGAAAGAAAGAAAGAGAAAGAAAGAAAGAAAGAAAGAAAGAAAGAAAGAAAGAAAGAAAGAAAAGAAAAGAAAAGAAAAAGAAAGCAAGGAAGGAAGGAAGGAAGGAAAGAAAGAAAAAGAAATCAGAAGTATTGATTCTATTTTTCAAATTTTGTCTTCAAATGTCTTAACACTGCTACTCCAGCCTCCTTGATTTAAACGACACCAGATTGTATGGAGTGATGTAAACCAAAATGCAGTGGTAGGTTTTTTGGTGAACTTAATTAAAATCTCCTCAGGACATGCAATCTGAGCTGAACTTACATACTATACAAAATGGGAGAAATAAGTTCCTTAAATTAGAAACATAAATCCAAAAATTATTTTCATACTGTGGAGCTGATACCGTCGGCATGGAGACGTTCACGAATATGAGCAGTCATGAACTGAGCACGTTACCAGGCAGAACCATAAAAACCGTTATGAGAGGAACATTTTCAACTAAATGGTTTTTCAGGCAAAGAGCAGCTATTAATTTTCCCCCAAAATTTCCTTTAAAGGTGAAATGTATCATTGATAATCAGAGGGAAAGGTACTTCAACATTCTGAAGCCTATTATCTAGATCCTAAAGCTCTCAGACAAAATATTCTTTGATTTCAAAGGGAATTGTATTGGATAAAAGGATGGCTGGGACCTCCAAAAACGACTCTGGTGGTAAACCAAACGTGACGGGGAGCTCTCAGTCAGACTGCCCAGTCTGGGGGCGGGAGGGCAAGTGTGTTTACATTAAGTAAAGAAACGTTCAACACTGGAGACCTAGGGGTAACTTTCCCATTTCGGGGTTGCCCCTCATTTCTATTATTTACCGTCTTATTTATCAATATTCTGTTCAGTGGCTGTATTCTACTGGCCAGAAATTCACCGAAATTTAAATAGATTTATGTACTATGCACAAATTTACATGTTTTTGTCTTTGTTTTAAGGTTTATTCTTACTGCAAATCAATGTTTAAAGTCATTTTATATAAAATTTAATAATTTAGACTATGAAGCAATTTAAATACTTAAATTCCCTCAAAAAGACATTTTGTACATACATACATGATGTAGACATAAGAAAATGGTGGTCAAAAGAATTTTTTGGCAGCTGCTTCTTGCTGAGTCCTACGGAAAAAGAGAAAGAAAAAAATCTGAAAGTTCTATATATTTTACTTCGGAAAGAAACGGGATTGCTTAGAATTGAAATATACATTGCCTTTTGAATATAAAATGCACTAAGATAAGCATACTTTCTATACTTTCGAAGTATAAAATGCATTAAGATAAGCATACTTTCTATACATGCACTCCCACCTGACTGAAATAGACTAGAAATAATACTTGCTTTGTGGTAAACCGAATTTTACAAGTACTGAAAGTTGTTACACATACAGGTTACTCTGAATACTTAAAATTAAACAAATATAGGGGCGCCTGGGTGGCTCAGCCGTTAAGTGTCTGCCTTCGGCTCAGGTCATGATCGCTGGGTCCTGGGATCAAGCCCTGCATCGGGCTCCCTGCTCAGCAGGGAGTCTGCTTCTTCCTCTCCCACTCCCCCTGCTTGTATTCCCTCTCTCGCTGTGTCTCTGTCAAATAAATAAAATCTTAAAAATAAATAAATAAATAAATAAATAAATAAAACAAATACAGAAAAAGGTTGAGTCAAATTTTAGACTTACCTATACATGATATAACCAATGAATAACACCGTTTGTACCACTACAAATATAACGAAGTGCATCGTCGATAAACATGATGGAAATGGTGGCAGTTCTGGGCATTTTGGTCTTTCATTTGATGGCTATAAGGCAAAGAACCATTACAATTAGTCCAAGTGGTATTTTAGAAAAAGAAATAAATGTGAAACGTTTATTAAATTCATGGTTAACTACATAAACTCAAGATTTTCATTTATTTGTCCCGTAAATATCTTCCACCCCCTTAACTTTTACCACCCTTTTTTTTTTTTTTAATAAAGTTTACTTATTTACTTTTTTGGTCATCTCTATGCCCAATGTGGGGCTCAAACTCACAACCCCAAGATCAAGGTTCGCATGTTATACTGACTGAACCAGCCAGACACCCCCAACACCGAACTTTCTGAAAGAGGAATTGACACTGGAAGGCCTCTACCTTCACAGTCCAGTCACTAACACACTGCCATCTGGCTCGAATCTTCAGCACGATGATGATGATTTTTTGTGTTCCTGATGGTCAGAGACCACGAATTCCCTGAATACACCCAGTTTATACTTGCTGTACTACAGTGATTATTAATAATATCCCCTTTATTCTCAAAAGTGTTCTGGTTCAGGCAATTACATTGTCACCTCACCAATGAACTGCCTGACAAATATAATGGCTTTTTCTTAGCCCTCATCCTCCCCAACCTCCTAGCAGCCAATATTACCAATTAGTATTTTGAAAAATGTTTCTTTTCCTATTTCCATGGGTATTCTTTCTATTTTAAGGGGGTAATTAAATACCAGGGACAAAGATTTAATCAAGGTATCCAGACCAGACAGAACAGCTTCTCGGATTAGCTGTTCTCAGTATGTTTCCATCCGTGGGACACCGCCCTGCAGTACATACCTCCCACAGCACCAGCCTGGGCACCGTAACACAGGCCCAAACTGGGAGAGAATAACCGCAAACAGAGCTCGGAATAAACCACAGTGCTTTAGATGACAGGTAATGGTCATTAAGAAAACTCTTAACTCATATTTGAAAAATACCAACATCCAAGACATAAAAATATAGATTTGGCAGTATCCGAAAATATAAAGGAGACAAGATTACATGTTAAAGACCTAAGTTCTTCCCTTCTACCACTTATTAGTTAATGACCTCCGGAAAGTTATTTAACAACATACTAACTTTCTTTCCTAAAGGATAATAGATATTTTTAAAAAACTTTTGAAGATAAAAAGCTCCACATAACCTATAAGGTACTAGGACTTCTGGGAAGGTAGGATGGGTAATATGGACCAACCACCTAGCAGAAGACAACTAGCAGAGCTAGAAACAAATCCAATCCAAAACAAACAACACCTGTCTGAAGGCAAAGGCAGTGAACAAATGGCAAGAAATGATGGGATCAGCATTTTGGGGGAGGGGGGGTTCGTGGGGGAAGGCCAAAGAAAGACAACTTCAAACCCATGGATCAGAGAAGAAATTGGAATGGAAATTAGAAAGGGCCCCAGGATGGTTCAGTCAGTTGAATGTGGGACTCTTGGTTTTGGCTCATGATCTCAGGGTTGTGGGATCGAGCCCCGTGGCAGGCAGAACTCAGGCTGGCTAAAGATTTTCCAAATTTAATGACAACTATAAACTCACAGAACCAAGATATTAAACCCCAAGCAGATGAAAAAGGAAACAAAAGCAAAGCATATCATAAACTGTTGAAAATCAGTATCAGAGAGAAAATCTTAAAAGCAGAGAAAAAAGACACATTAGGTACAGAGAAACAAAAGACTGACTTCTCATGAGAAATGATAAACTATGATACAGTCACATAACGGGGTTCATGCAGCTGTAAGAGGAGTAAGAAGTATCTGTATACCACTGTGGCCACCCTGGTAAGTGAAAGAAGGCCGAGAGAAGATAAATATGTACAGTCTGCTACTATCTGTAAAAATATAGTTTCTGCTTATATTAAGAAAAGCAAGAAACAGTGGACAGAGAAACGATAGTCCCCCCAAATTGTTCCCTAATAAGGAAGAAATAAAAAGCACAAGTGTAAAATTTAGGCTTCTTTGAATCTATCTTACTCTGTAGATGTGAGAAACCATCTGAGCTTTAGTCTAGATACAAATTTACAGGAAATTTACATTGAGTATAATTATCCATACAGTTGGGTTCATAATTACCATCTTGTTACTTATTTCCCATTTCCTTAATCTGTCCCCAGTCTTTTAGAGGTATTCGATATAGTCCTGCAAGAACAGCCTTGAGCACACTGGGTATTTTTTTTTTTTTTTTTTTTTAAGATTTATTTATTTGAGAGAGAGAGCACACACAGGAGTCAGGAGAGAACAGAGGGAGAGAATCTTCAAGCAGACTCGCCATTGAGCACGGAGCCCGATGCGGGGCTCCATCCCACAACCCCGAGATCGTGACCTGAGCTGAAATCAAGAGTCAAATGCTTAACCAGCTGAGCCACGCAGGTGCCTCTAGGTATCTGGGGGTTTTTTTGCCAGTGTATCTGTGAAAAATGCTAGGTTCAATAGGCAAATGAATGTGTATTTTTACTATACATTGTTAAATTCTCCTTCCTAAGGGTTGTGCCATGTTCTACGCCCTCTAGCAATGTGCTACTAGCCTTGGCAAGGGAGTATGTTGTCAGACTTTGGCTTTTCGTCAAACAGGTGTGGTATCACAGGAGAGTTTTATTTTCCATTTCTCTTGTTATTTAAGTAGCTTCAGCATCTTTTCATATATGGTACAAGCTTTTTCCCATGAACACTCCGTTCATTTCTCTAGCACATTTTTGATTGGGTTGCTCCACAGCAAATTTTTAGTGTTGGTCATTTCAAGGAGATTGGACTGGAAAGGGAAGAGGCAAATGCTACAACCTTTTGTGAACTTTTTTTCTTTTTAAAGATTTTATTTATTTATTTGACAGAGAGATAGTGAGAGCAGGAACACAAGCAGGGGGAGTGGGAGAGGGAGAAGCAGGCTTCCTGCTGAGCAGGGAGCCCGACGTGGGACTCGATCCCAGGACCCTGGGATCATGACCTGAGCCGAAGGCAGACTCTTAATGACTGAGCCACCCGGGTGCTCCACATTTGTGAATTTTATAAGGGTTTTGGAAGCCAGTAAATAAGTTAAGGAAAAACTTAAAACTGAAAAACTTATAAGTACCACAGGTCTGTCATCTAATATTGTCTCTTATGCATATTTAACTTTGAAAACATGTTACCTATCTTTAATATTTATGGCCAATCTCTAAAAATGTAGATGGGGCTTATACTTAAAAAAAAAAAAAAAAAAAAGGCCTGATAAACTAAACCAAATTCAAAACCAAACAAAAAAAACTTTTTAAAAAAGTGAACCAAGTAAGAGAGGAAAAGTTGCTGGAAAAAGAAGAATCTTGCTTAAAGAAAGAGGCTACCAATCATCCAGTGTCAGACCTGCGCTTCCTCAGAGCCCAGACAGAGAAGTGGGAGCTACCCAGCGTCTGTCTCAGTAAAGGGTCAAGAGATGTTCACCTTTTTTTTTTAATGAAAGATTTTATTTATTTATTTAATTTATTTATTTGGCAGAGAGAGAGCAGGAGAGCACAAGCAGTGGGAGTGGCAGAGGGAGAGGGAGAAACAGGCCCCCTTTCGAGCAGGGAGCCCGATGCGGGGCTCGATCCCAGGACGCGTAACCAACTGAGCCACCCAGACGCCCCTAGATGTTCACCTTTTTAAAACTGTTTAAAGATATCATTACTGATAATAAGAGCCATTTTTTTAAAAGAAAATTTACAGAAAGAATCTAGAAAAAAGTCTGAGACTGTGACAGCTCCAATGACAGGAATAGCAATGTTTAAGAAGTCTATTCAACAGGGTATGGAGGGGCGCCTGGGTGGCTCAGTCGGTTAAGCATCTGCCTTTGGCTCAGGTCATGATCCCAGGGTCCTGGGATCAAGTCCCACGTTGGGCTCCCTGCTCAGCAAGGAGTCTGCTTCTCCCTCTCCCTCTGCCCCTCCCCCCCAAATAAATAAAATCTTAAAAAAAAATGATATTCAATAGGGTATGGAAACATGGAACATAAAGACATTTGGATCATATGGACTAATTCTACCTTGAATATTAAAAATGAACATTAGGATTAAGTAAAAAGTTGTAATATTTTCAGAATATGTGTTCTTTCTTTTCTAAGGAAGACTGATGATGATAAAAGTAGAAGGCAAGAGCTTACCATGTTTCGCTGCACTAAGTTGTCTATGTCCCGCTTCACAATGTGAAGGTGCTCTTTGATGTCGTTGAAGTGCTGGGTTGACTCATAAACTCCACCTGCAGATCCAGGATGCTGTATGCCGCTGACCAGCCTGACAGTTTCACTCATGGAATTCCTGAAACAGAAAATCCCTTTAGACAAGGGAGTTGCTAGAAAAATGATTTTTTTTCAGTCGCGCATTTCAAAAGGTTAGATATACTTCTGAGCCCATTATATTAGATTAAAAAAAATCAATATTTAGAAATACTGAATTGTATTCAGGATTGGAAAACAATTTATAAAACTACAGTTTATGGGGCGTCTGGGTGGCTCAGTTGGTTAAGCGTCTGCCTCCGGCTCAGGTCACGATCCCGGGGTCCTGGGATCAAGTCCTACATCAGGCTCCCTTTTAGTGGGGAGCCTGCTTCTCGCTCTGTCTCTGACGCTCCCTCTCTCCAAAGATAAATAAATAAATAAAAATAAATGGAGAGGAAACTTCAGAGCGAGAGTGCCCCTCTTCGCTCTCTCAGGAAATGATGGATTCAGGTTATGGCTGTGACCGCCACGAAAATTTGGAGGGGCTGAAGGAGGCACTTCATAATGAACAGTGCAGGCCGACAACATCCAGTTATTAATAACTGTTGCAACTGGGGGATGGAGTATGAGGGATGGCTTTTATGCTCAACTTCTTTGTATGTTTGAAAATGTTTAATGAAAATAAAAATTGGCAAGGCATTCTGGTATGCTAGAAATAGCACCTGAAAGTGAGGAGATAATGAAACTACTTCTGACTGTTTTTATATTGGGACCTTTTATCAGTCAGGGCCTTTTTTTCTTTTTCCGTAAACTGAAGGGAATTGTACTACATGCTTTTGCTAAAAAAAATTCTATGATTCTCTAAGGAGATGAAAATCCACAGACACAAACCACCTATTCCACAAAACGTAAATATTTCATTTCTCTTTACGGTTTTTTTTCTGAAGGCTAATCCAGAAGGAAAATACCTCTAGAGGATAAATTTAGAAATCTGAGTTCAGTTTTTACCTTAACTTATGGTATGCATGACATTCGTTCTCAATTAGTAAGTGGGAGTTTATGAGGATTGCCAACTACTCTAAATAAGTGCTTTCATGGATAATACAGCCAGATGGCTAGGATTTACTAACTACTAATTGAATCTTAAGACGTTCTAGTACCACTATTACGTGTAATAAGCAAAGCACAAGAGTATCTAGAATATACTACCATTCACGTAAGAAAGAAGGGGATCTAAGAAAATACATGTGTGGAAAAAGTACAAGACGAAGAAACCAGAAATGAATGGGATAGGTTAGCAACTGGGGGGGTGGGTGGGAAAAGGCTAAAGAGGGGGGAAATGGGAATGGGGTGGTGGTGCTGAAGAGGGAGCGACACTTCAGTGAACACATAAATTTTGACTCAGAACCTCTCAGAACCATCGTATTCATGGAACCTTCATATACCCCAAATATACATGATTAAAATCAACCAGGATGTAGGGCAAATACAAATGCTAACAAAGAACCTAACTCTGTTATGAATGCATATCATAACGGTACTGAAGACAGTGGGGAGAGAACTGAACTAAATAGCTGTCTGGAAAATAGTGTCTATATTACAAATTATAAGGTTAGATGCAAAAGGATCTTTACATAAATCCATTAGTAAATATGTTCCTCACGGGGTATTAGTTAACAATTTGAAACCACTTCATGGGTACATTATGTGCACACTAAAAAAAGTAAGTACATTATAGATAATAAAAACCAGGCTTCTCCCTCCTGGAGAAAGAATTTTCAAAGAAGGAAAGAAGAAGGTGAAAATCAACTCTGTAATGTTCAGCCTAGTCTAGTCCAACCAGAATCCAAAATGTCTGGATAATCTCAGGGTCTTTTTAATACAAATGAGAGTGATGGGTACAAAAATAAAGATATGTGTGTATGTGTGGGTTAGTAAACATTCATCTATTCCCTAGCTCTGTCACTGAGAGGGCCTAGGAGCAGTGGAACCACAGGGGGAGTGAGCACACCTGCTGCCCAGATCTTGGGTTTCTAAATACCTTTCTTCAATAAAAGGAACCAGGGCTCACTGGAGAAGTGGTTGATTCCAGAGCCGGGGCAGAGAAAACACAAAATGAGCCTGAAACACAGTGTAGCACCAGAAAGTAAAGAAATGGTTTAAAAAAAGACGAGAGCTTGTTGAAAGAACACAGAAGCCAACCTGGAGGAGTTCTTAATTACCAGAGCGGAACAATTTGAGCAGTAAATAATGATAGTATGGGATTGTAACCCACAGAATACATATCCATGAGCCTGTATGACATAAATAATTGATTAAATAAATAAATGGGGCAGAAAAGAGCCGGTCCTTACAGAATTCCAATAAATACATGGGAAGGAATGATGAAAAGAGGAAAAAAAAAAAAACCAGCATTTGGGAAATACCTCATTCTTGTTTCAGGCAAAATGTCAATGGATGCTACAATTAGCAAGCAAAAGTTTAAACTGAAACAGGATATTTATATCTTTACATAGTTTCAAAGTACCTTTTCCAAAATACAATTAAGCATCAAGGGAAAGACAGTAACTTTAGAGAAAGCAGGAAGAAGCCACCATAACCAAGTGATCCCAGCCAACATCAACAGAAATAAGACATACTGACATCATGAACATGATACAGTGTTGTATTCTTGTCAAAAATGCTGAACCTCCATGCAATCATGAGTAAACACCAGACAGACCCGAATCGAGAGGCAGTGGACCAAATAACAGCTCAATGCAGAAACCGTCATGGTCATGAAAGACAAGAGAAGATGAACTATTTCATACTGCAGAAGTCTAAGGAGATAGAACTAAATGCAATGTGTGTTGCTGGATAGGATCATGGAACAGAAGAAGGGCATGCATGGAAAACGGGTGAAATTTGGATAAGATCATTAGTTAATAGTACTGTAACGTTGTTCATTTCTTGGCTCTGACAACTGTGCTATGGTTATGTAAGTTGCGAACATTAGGGGAAGATGGAAAGGAATATAATGGAAATTGTACTATTTTTGCAATGTCTGAAGTCTAAAATCAGATCAAAATAAAGATTTTTTTAAAATAATGTCACATGATCCAGTCTGTTTCTGAATTTTTTTTTTAAAGATTTTATTTATTTATTTGACAAAGAGAGCGAGAGAGCAAAAGCAGGGGGAGCAGCAGAGGGAGAAGCAGGCTCCCCGCGGAGCAGAGAGCCCGACGCAGGGCTCGATCCCAGGACCCTGGGATCATGACCTGAGCCGAAGGCAGCTGCTTCACTGACTGAGCCACCCAGGTGCCCCTATTTCTGAAATAATTTAACTATTCACTTAGGATCATAAATATTTTAATCATGAGCTCACAACTTAAAGATTTTTAAAAATGCGAGACAGTAAAAGTGAAAAGAAGAACCAATTTGCAGTTGCAAGTGGGGCTACCTTTCATCTCTAGGTGTGGATATTATCACCTTGTGTGTATTAACCTAATACTGTTTAATTTTCCAGTGCTAAAGAACTCACCTTGACATTCTTGTTTGTCAAGGGTTGTACTGGTTGGTGCAATGCTCTAAAAAGTTAGCTTATAAAATGTAACACTTTGGCTGTTTCTCTACTGTAGGCATTGAAAGCTGTTAATTATCTGTGTAAGTGAGCACTTTTTAAAAACTTATCATTCAAAGTTCCAAGGACACGGTAGCTCTTCCCTGTTCCAACCCTGTCCAGTCTCTCTTAGACTACAAGATGGAATGGAAGAGAGGTAGTCATACATAGCATATTTCCTTGAAAATGGTTTCATTCCATCAAAAAGAAGTACCTGCATCAGGCATGCTTGTATTATAGTTCTACAATGCTATGCATGCTTACCCTTCTAGGATTTTTCACAGAATTGTTATATATTACACATATTCTTTTTATTTTAGAAATATGTGAATACTTCTGGCTGTCAAGTAGCTGTGACAAATGTATTTTTTTAAAGATGCTAAAGCATTTTTTTTCTCCTCTGCCTTAGAACAATTCAAACATTTAGGCCTACTGGCAGTTTCTGAGTATCAAAGGTTCCCGTATATTCCACTCTCTGATTTATAAAATGAATCTAGAATGTGATTCTTACCCTCATGGGGAATTCTTACAATAATAATGTGCTTGCACAGAGGGAGAGAGAAGCCATGGATTTTGGATAAGTGTATCACCTAACACTTGGACGTGGCTTCTGTAGACTTACTTCATTTCATTTACTTGTCTCAGGATCTCGTGCTGAGTGTTGACAACAGTATCCAGCTCTTGTTGGGTGATCTGGAGGAAAACAGAAGAACCCAGTTCTGTAGGAACATATGGCGGAGCAGCCTCTCTTTCTGCCATGCGTCCTCCTCCATCAGAGGCTGCCTAAGGCACACATGCTTGCTTGCAAAGCTTACCCGGCCCTGCTGCCCTGGGACTCCTGATCCTCTTTTAGCGATCTCCTCTGTCAAGGAAGAGACGTATCTCCTCTGCTCATCAAGAATCATATCTAACTGGCGGTTCAGCTGCTTGATTTCAAGATGGATACGATTCTGTCCTTCAAAGATTTGTCTCAGCTCGCGGTCTCCTACACTCTCAAATATTTCATCCGCTGAAATGGAAATTGCATATTAAAATGATCAAAATCACCAACACATGTAGTTTTTTGTTTTTTAAGATTTTATTTATTTATTTGAGAGAGAGAGAATGAGAGATAGAGAGCACGAGAGGGAAGAGGGTCAGAGGGAGAAGCAGACTCCCCGCCGAGCAGGGAGCCTGATGCGGGACTCGATCCCGGGACTCCAGGATCATGACCTGAGCCGAAGGCAGTCGCTTAACCAACTGAGCCACCCAGGCGCCCCACCAACACATGTAGTTTTGGAAACACCATTAAGTGACTGAGGTATCAACATACACTAAAATTAGAACATCACCAATATGATCTACTCCAGTGGTATGACCTCCTCCATAGTGAACATGCAGATAATCAATTCAATCATGACAACATTACTATTTGTTTTTTGCCATGTCTGGTGGCTGAACACCTATTATAAATTAGTTCTGAATTTTTTTCACCTAAAAATAATTTCCTTTCAAATATACTATATGATTCTATTTATATGAAAAGGCAAAACTAATCTATGTTACCAGAAATCCGGAAGAGTGGTTGCCTCTGTAGAGGGAGGCTGACTTTGAAAGAGGCATGAGGAAACATCTTGTGGTGATAAAAATATTCTATGTATTGACCTGAGTGATGATTAAGTGGGTATACAAATTTGTCAGAATTCATCAAACTACGCTTTTAAAATTTGTGCCTTTTACTTAGGTAATGAATTTAACAATGGAGTTGAGAACAGCTGATTTCCCTTTTAAAGCTGATTGTGCTGGAAATTATTTCATTCAAACACTTACTACAATAAGCTTCAGGATATACTCACAAATCGTATGTGATATTTAAAACAAATTCAAGAAGAGAATTAAATTTATTTTTCATTTTTATCTTAAGTCTGATTTATATTATTGATCATTTAGAGAATCACAGGGAGTACAAAAGCGAGCTATGGGCCATATTAAATACAGCTTTGATCATCTGTGCTGGTGGGAACAATCCAGATAAAAGTTAGCAGATAATAGAAAGCCACTCTACTTGGACTTCTCGTGTTTTATTTTTGGCACACAGCACACTTAAGTTCAACACTGGCTTAGACTAATTATTTTACAATTTGCAAATTTTCAAGTCTAGAGTTCTGTCGAGCAGTAAGGGGAGGAGAGCTAGAGAATCATTTCATATTACTTTCACAAGAATTTTGATATTTTTCCAGTATTATCTCTATATTAATAAGGTAATGTGTGCCACTCAAAGGAAAGACATAAACTTTAGATGATTTCATTCCACAAATATTTACTGAGTCTCAACTACTAGGTCAGCATTGGGTTCTTGATGTTTTTTAGGTGTCGGGGGCGGGCAGAGCAGTCAACAGGAAAACAGAATCCCTGTCCTCACAGAGCCTGCACTTCAGGGGATCACTGTTCATCCACATCACCCAGTATCACCCACTGCATGCTTTCCTAAGCCACACCCTTAGTGGTAGAAACATCAACCTCCAAGCCTTGTGATGGCAGAAGATTTGCTTATAGATTGCTTCTGGAAACGACTTGGATATGCCAGACAGGAGCTCAAGGATGGGATGAATGTATGTGCCACAACCCCTGTGCAGCTCTGAGCACAGCTTCCTCCAACTCACCAGGTTGCCCCTGAAGGTCAGGGTGGCCCTTCTGGAATTCCTCCTTTTTTTTATCCAATTCTTGTTGAAAGTGCTCAAATTCTTCTTGATACTTTTCTTTTTCTTTTTCTGAAATTTCTTTATCTGGGGTAGGCTTTTTTGGAATTTAGGAATAGATCATTAAAAAAAATTAAAAAGATAAGAAAATAATAAACCTCAATATACTTTTTTCCCCTTCATTTGAACTACTCAAACACTAGTTGAAAGGTTAACATAAAAATGTTATTTAAATCAAAACCATTTTACTCTTGCTACTAATAATTACAACAAAACAGTAACACTAGCAACTACCATTTATTGAATTCACTGTCCTATTTAATGCTTATGACACCACAAGGTGGCCAGTACCAATGTCTCAGTTTTACCAGTGAAGAAATGGAGCGGTACAAGAGGTTAAGTCACTTTTACAAGATCAAACAGCAATAACAGGCAGAAACAAGACCCAAATCTAAGTTGGGCTTCCCAAGTTTTCAGCAATAAACTTTGAAAAAAAAAAAAAAGTGTATACTTACCAGCTCTTTCCCAGGCTCAGTCAATTGGAAAGTCAGAAAAGAAAGGACATCATGGTCATCTACAAATTAAAAAAAAAAAAAAAAAAAAAATCTGAAAAAGTTCCATAACAGATTTTATGGTTGTGAAGTTACTTTAGAGAGATCTATTGCTTTAAAAATAATCAATATGAAAAATAACAAAAATCAGCTCTCATCTGGTAAAGGCAATGGTGCTGTGAGCTTAGAGATAAAAATTCACCAGAAAGATTTACATCAGAGATAAACTAAAATTCATTTTCTTTTATCCTAAACCAGAATATTTAACAGTGTTTAACATATAATAGATGTTTAATAAATAAGGGATCAGGGAATAAACAAACGAGGGGTCAAAACAAGCCCAAACTCCTAAATCTGACACCAAGATCTTCCCATATTTTCCCACAAATCTCCCTCACAGGCTGTGTCCCAGCCAAATGAGACAAAATCCTGTCCTTCATGTATTTTTGTTCCTGTCTCTCAACCTTTCTTACAGTACTTACCACTACTTGCCTTACCGTCTTGTTATAAACTTGACATTGCTTTGTGCTGGCTTACTGGGACAGTCCTGATTTATCCATGTTGTCCTGGCATTACTAATAGCATCTCCTTTTATTCTCAAAACATTCCAATTTAGATAATATGACCACCCTATCTATACATCATTCATATTTGTTTCCCTCACACAGCAGATATGAACAATTTTACTTTATTTAAAATCATATTTTAAAAATCAAATTAATTTCAGGCTGCTTAAGCTGAAAACGGACTTAGCAGATCAAACCTCATAATGCTGACCTAAAATACCAATCCTGGCTAGTCACGTCTGCACAGCAAGAGCAATTAATTCCAACTGGCAATCTCTATGCTTTCTTCTCGCTATTATGGAGATTGAGATATGCAACCAGATGGAAGAGAAAATTGTAACACTCCAAGTGTGTAAGTTATGTAACTTTTCAGGAAAAGATGTACAGTGTGACAGAGCACTGGACCCAGGAGTCAGAAATCTAAACCAAGTCCTGCCTTGGTTTGGCCGCCATTACTGGCCATGTAATATTTATAATGTACTTTAATCCAAGATTTGGCAAGCTTAACTAAAAATAAGTAAAACAATCTATCCTCTCTCTCCCTCCCTGTGATGTTGTAAGGAACAATTATATATTTGAAAATAATAAAAAATTATACAAAACATACCATGTAAACACAAGATGATATATATTTTTTTAAACACAAGATGGTATTAACGTCGAACGAGAAGTTCATTTATCACCAAATGTGGGGCAAAAATGGTAAATATATCTTGAAACTTTAGTCCCCAGGGGCGCCTGGGTGGCTCAGTCGTTAAGCGTCTGCCTTCAGCTCAGGTCATGATCCCAGGGTCCTGCGATCGAGCCCTGCATCGGGCTCCCGGCTCAGCAGGAAGCCTGCTTCTCCCTCTCCCACTCCCCCTGCTTGTGTTCCCTCTCTCGCTATCTCTCCCTGTCAAATAAATAAATAAAATCTTAAAAAAAAAAACTTTAGTCCCCAATAATATTTCCTCAGGCTACCAAATTCATTTAAATGTGCCGTGACAACTTTCAGGATCCTAAACCACTTGGCAATTAACCTATTATAGCCTTGACTTTAAATGTCAACCATCACATGATTCTGGAGTCCCGGAGAGCCCCGCATCGGGCTCCCTGCTCGGCAGTGAGTCTGCTTCTCCCTCAGACCCTCCCCCCTCTCACGCTCTCTCTCTCTATCTCATTCTCTCAAATAAATAAATAAAATCTTTAAAAAAATAAATAAATGTCGACCATCAGTTGTATGCAGCCCCAGCCAACTCTACACCTACAGAATATCAGTAGAAAATGAGCAGATTCAAGATACCAAAAGACCAGCTCTGCAGACTATGTAAAGGTTACAGTTCATCTTAAAAGGTTAAAAGTAGGGCGCCTGGGTGGCTCAGATGGTTAAGCTTCTGCCTTCGGCTCAGGTCATGATCCCAGGGTCCTGGGATCGAGTCCTGCATCGGGCTCCCTGCTCAGTGGGGAGCCTGCTTCTCCCTCTGCCTCTATCTCTTATGAATAAATACATAAAATCTTTAAAAAAAAAAAAGGTTAAAAGTAAATAAGTCTACATTTCTCCAAACAGACTATTCCCAATGAAACTCAATACATGAACTTTTAATATTAAAAGATAGCAAGATTTACCTGCAAGACCTCCAGTTGCAGCAGATATTCCAAAATGCCCTTGAGGAGGGATAACCATATTGTCCACTCTGGCACAAAATTCATAGTCATTTTTATCTGGTGTGAAGCCATTATTGATCATTACCTAAAAAAAGACATACTGCAGCTATAGCTTTTACAAAACATTATAAAGTTAATTTCAAATAGTCAATTTATGACTAATTGATCTTTATACTTGGTCTACTAACCGTCAAAAAGCTATCAGTTTTCTCTCACTATTATAAAGGGTAATCCCCTGTCCATGAAATCACCTCACTTATTTAGCATCATTATACAAGATATTTCACTTTAAAGTTTTTATCCTACAACGTGTCAAAGGCTTAAAGAGAAATATTTGATAATGTCCCCCGAAACTCTTTCTCAAATAGAAGACTCAGGGAACCACAAAGACTTCCTTTGAACGGTTCACACAGGAGAGGGACCAGACTTGTTCCGAAACCCCAGTGTCAGAGCTCAAACGAATAGGATGAATTTACAATTTTTACCACAGCTAGTTGAGAATTAAATATAATTACATTAAATAGATTGCTGTGCAAGGAGTAAGCTTCTCTTCATTCAATTGGGGAGGGGGTGTGATTGGACAGTGCTAAGTTAGCAGAGAGACAACAGAAGGGACCGAAGTCATATTGACACAAACGCAGAAAATGAAAAAACTAAAAGGACACCTAAGTTTCTTCTCTGCAGAATGTATTTTTGAAGTAATAACCCAAAATGTCTTAAAAAAAAAAAATCTTGGAATCCCAAGGCAGCACAGGAACCCGGCAGACACATAGGTACCCTTCTCCTGATCCCAGTTAAGCAGTGGCCCAGCCTTTCACTTCCAACCCAGCGTAGGGGTGGCTGAGCCAGAGGGGAAGCCAGAGGAGGGCTGTGGCACCAGAGCGGGGCACTTCTATTATTACTTACAGATGCAACCATCACTTGTCAGTGACTGGTAGGATTTAGTCACATAGGTAAAATGATAGAGTACACTGTCCGCATTTTTGGCAAGAGAGTAAGGTATCTGTCAATATGAAGGGTAAATCTCTTTGTAACGTAGGATGGAAACATGTGAACTACTACCATTCTTTTAAAATTCTTTTTTTTTTTTTTAAGTAGGTTCCATGTCCAGAGTGGAGCCTGATGCGGGGCTTGAACTCACGACCCTGAGATCAAGACCTGAGCTGAGATCAAGAGTCAGACGCTTAACCGACTGAGCCACCTAGACACCCCTACTACCAATTTTTTCAAACCACCTGCCATTTAGTTAGCTAACATTAATATTCTGTTCCCTCTGATCAGTAATGCTCCGATTTCAGTTTACATCATTTATGAATGGTTCTCCTCTACAGTGTTTTAAATCAGAATCAACAATCAGTAAGACATTTGTCTTTGAGAGATAAAACACAAAAAGTATTAAGTTGATATCACACCCTAATTCTAACACTAAAAATTTTCAACTATTCCAATACTTTTTCCTCGAACCTGAACAAACTGAAAATCCATTAGGAGTCTTTACGGCCTAGTACTAATTCTTTTATTTATTTAAGATTTTATTTATTTGACAGAGAGAGAGAGTGAAAGAACACACAAGCAAGCGGAGCAGCAGGCAGAGGGAGAGGGAGAAGCAGACTCCCCGCTGAGCAGGGAGCCCGATGCGGGGCTCGATCCCAGGACCCCAGGATCATGACCTGAGCCAAAGGCAGACGTTTAACTGACTGAGCCACCCAGGCATCCCAGGATATACCCACTTTAAGTACTACCCTGAACTCAATTTGTCTATATAACTAAACTCATTACCAACTCTCAACCTTCCCACTCCTCACTCAAACTCAAAAATGTGCTGCTTCTTAGCTTAGTTGTACAACTGGCCAGAAATCCAGGAACTATCTTGGACTCCCCGACTGCACACACCCTCCCAGCCCCAAGCACGGTCTCTCCCTCCTAATCACCTCTCCTCCCTTCCTTCCTCTCCCCAGCTCAGACCACAAGGGGAGTCTTGCAGGGAAGACGGCTCTCGGTTCAAATCAGAGTTGTGATACTAGGTTACTTAAAATGTCCCATACCCCATTTCCCCGTGTGTAAGCTGGGGATGCCTGCCCCATTGGGCTATTGGAAAAAATAAGTGAGAAACCGCACTTAAAGTACAGAGCACCAGGCATGGCCCATTACGTGTAGAGTCTCCTTTCACAAATACCATTATAAGAACACTGCTGCCTAAGCCATCCACCCAAACTACCAATAGGATCATTTCACTTTCCTGCTTAAAACTTTCAACAGTCCCTTGTTAGGGTAAACTACCCGAGGCCTGCGTGACTTGCCACCAGCGACCTCTCAACCCCACTGCCCAGTCTCCTCTATCCTCCAGCCATTCCCCAATCTTTCACCAGGCCCTGTGCCTGTTTTCTCTGCCTTGAATATGCATCCCATCCTGGAAATCTCCACTTCCCCTGCCTGATGCAGCTCAGCTCTGAGAAACTGTTCCTGACCCTCCCCACGCCCACCTGCAGTTTCAAGATTCTCACCCCTTGACTCCTTAACGGTATGTGCACTGTGACACGTCTCCCGCCTAGCACAGTCATGTTACACAAGTGTCTCCCCTCCACCAGACTACAAGCCCTTTGGAGAAAATGACCTTTCTCTTACTCAGATTCGTATCTGGATGGCTCGGATACGTGTGTAATGTGAGGCATCTAGCAAGCAGGATGGTCAAACATGTACTGACTGAATGCAAACGTACGGGAAAGGTTTTACAACACATGACCACTTAGGCCAAGCTCTGAAGCCACTTCCATTCTCTCTTAGCAACGCTGAGTACATAAACCAATATCCAAATTTACATGCCTTTAATTTTTATCAGATTCAGAATGGTAAGTCCTACCAGAATACTGTTCATCTGAGTATCTCTAAGTGCATGTTACTTACCATCAGTGTTTTCTGGTAATACGTAATCTTTGCGCGGACAGGGTAGGGTTTATTACGAAAGTCTCTCTGGCAACTTGCTAAAGCTTGATTAGCACCATCGCTGTAGTACGAAGAAAGGGAAAACAAACAAAAAAGGTAAGAAAGCTTCTCAGTATCTAAAAACTCACTATTTAAAATGATCACCGTCCAGAAAGATAAAATAATATCAAGTTGTGACAGTCTTGGGATATTTGAAGTTACTTATTCAGAAGACACAAAGTTTTTTGTGTTTGTCTGTTTTTTAATTTTATTACGTTAGTCACCATACAATACATCATTAGTTTTTGATGTAGTGTTCCATGATTCATTGTTTTCGTAGAACACCCAGTGCTCCACGCAGTACGTGCCCTCCTTAATACCCATTACCGGGCTAACCCATCCCCCCACCTCCCTCCCCTCTAAAACCCTCAGTTTGTTTCTCAGAGTCCATAGTCTCTCATGGTTCATCTCTCCCTCCGATTTCCCCCATTTTCCCCTTCCTTCTCCTAATGTCCTCCATGCTATTTCTTATGTTCCACAAATAAGTGAAACCATATGATAATTAACTTTCTCTGCTTGACTTAGTTCACTTAGCATAATCTCCTCCAGTCCCATCCATGTTGATGTAAAAGTTGGGCATTCATCCTTTCTGATGGCTGAGTAATATTCCATTGTATATATGGACCACATCTTTATCCATTCATCTGTTGAAGGGCATCTCGGCTCTTTCCACACTTTGGCTATTGTGGACATTGCTGCTATGAACATTGGGGTGCATACGGCCCCTCTTTTCACTACATCTGTGTCTTTGGGGTAAATACCCAGTAGTGCAGTTGCTGGGTCAAAGGGTAGCTCTATTTTTAATTTTTTGAGGCACCTCCACACTGTTTTCCAAAGTGGCTGCACCAAGTTGCATTCCCACCAACAGTGTAAGAGGGTTCCTCTTTCTCCACCTCTCCAACATTTGTTGTTTCTTGCCTTGTCGATTTTTGCCATTCTAACTGGTGGTATCTCAGGGTGGTTTTGATTTGAATTTCCCTGATGGTTAATGATGATGAACATTTTTTCATGTGTCTGTTAGCCATTTGTATGCAGAAGACACAAAGTTAATGCACAAGTTTTCTGTGATTCCTGTCAGAACTCGTGGATAACGTCAGAAGCCAAAGCTACCATGGGCCGACAGCAAGAGGAAAGTTCTACTCCTCTACCTGAGAGAAGGACAAAATAGTCCTTTACGTCAGGGCAGAATCGAAATACATATGGAGCTTTTAAAAATGTAGATGCCTAGATTCCACCCCAAGTCAACTGAAGCAGACTCACAAGGAGGTTGGCCTTGGCACCTCTGGTTTAAATAGCTCCCACAGGTGGTCATGACAAACTAGGAGGACTAAAAAACACGAAGGTAGGAAACAGTAAACGGAAGTGCAGATGAGTAATTTTTCTTACAGTTCACTGATTGGCTCAAAGGTAATTCCTCCCAAAACAAACATGTAAAAATAAAAAATGTACATACCTAATTCATACACATTATAAATATACCACTTAGAAATTTTGTAGCCTATTGAGAATCTTTACATAAAGCAACATGAAGGATGAGTAAGGTGGTGTAAACTGCTCAGCCATTAGTTTGGTCAAGGGTTTCAACTTTATTTTTCAAAGATAAAGATGAAAGAAACATGATTAATGGCATCACCGAGAACCAGGAAAATTTTATAAATCTTTCAAAATATTATCTAATTTTAGGTTCAATAAAACAACTCTTTTTTATGTTTGAAATCTGAGGTGGTCCATAGAATGAACTTTAAAACAGGACCAAATTAAAATAAGACCTTTCTACCAAGTTTCAAAATACATCAAGAAAATTAATAATCTTATTTCATCCGAAAAATATTCAAATTTGAAACAATATATTTTATAAGGTTTCCAAAAAGAAGCTGCAATCAAATAATATAAAAAACACACACTTACTTTTGATGGTCATAATGGATTTGTCCATTGTTGCCTATAATTACTATAGCAGGATTATTTTTCTAAAAATAAAAAGAATGTATTTGTTTTAAAGTCCTTAGGTCAAAGAATTCTAGATCGTTCTAGAAGTCCTATAAAGTCTCTTACATCTCTAAAATTCCAGGACTCAAAATTTTAAAATAATAGAAAAGATTTCCACTTACTTAGAAAAAATTAGTAAACTCATAATCATTCAAAAACAGTCTCTTAACACCTCAGTAAAGACTGATGATGTGCCCTGTGTGAATAATCAACTACAACACATATTTGAGGATTCACTACGTGGGACCCAAGGGAGATTAGTTATAGAAGGACTAATATACCTCAGCATTCAAGGAGTTATTAAGTTCTCCTTTAAATTGCTAATAATGACCTCTGACAATCAGCAGAGAAACTACCAGCTGAAACAAAGATCAATCTTAAGGCTGCAAACGCAGCACAAGTTAATGTTACTAAATCGCAAGTACATTTTGTTCTGAACTGTTTTAGGCTCTCTTAACGACATCATCAGAGATACTGGTGGATCAAATAGAGGGATTAACATATGAAAAGGTATTAATATGTGAGCTAGTAGTAGTAATGCATAGGGTCTTTTCTTGAAAACAGACTATAATACTAAACACTGCCGGTTTCACTGCCTACCTCTAAATGACTCAGGCTTACGCATCAAAATTACTAAGCACATACAGGGCACCAGGGAGGGAGGTCACTGCAAAGTTCTAAAGAGTTAGAACTCCATTACAACCTCAAGCTGGTGTATGACAAATCAGGAGCAAAGAGCTTAAATTTCTAAAGTCTCAGTTATATAAAGACTAATCATCATACTTAGAATATAGTTTGGGGATTTCTCAAACTACTAACCTGACAAAAGTGTTAAATAAGCAATATTTCTCATAGCCTAACTTTTGTTAGCAGATATGCTCAAGTAGGTAATAGTCCTGACAACAAATATACCTTTCTGGGCGCCTGGGTGGCTCAGTTGGTTAAGCGACTGCCTTCGGCTCAGGTCATGATCCTGGAGTCCTGGGATCGAGTCCCACATCGGACTCCCTGCTCAGCAGGGAGTATGCTTCTCCCTCTGACCCTCTTCCCTCTCGTGCTCTCTCTCATTCTCTCTCTCTCTCAAATAAATAAATAAAATCTTAAAAAAAAACACATACCTTTCCGTCATTGTCGAAAGAATCAAAAAATATTCCAACACCATTCCACATATCAGCTGATCCAAACACAGGACCCTCCAAGCCTTGATTTTCTGTATACCAAACTGCCTGTAAATATAACAAGGGACATTTAGAGGCTAGTGGCATAGATACACACTTTCTAAGTTAAAGAAGTTATCATACCAGGCCATCAGCTCCAATTCGACCTCTTCCAGTCACTCTAAATGTCACCTCAACTTCCCAGTTCTCAAAGGCTGCTTTTGTCTTTGTCCACACCGATCCTCTTTGGCTTTTTAAAGATGGTGCTATTCGAATTTGATCTGAACTTGGAATAGCATCTAGAACAAAAATCAGGGAAGAACTTTAAGTTATAATTAGGTAAAACTCAAGGAACCATCACCAAACTGTTCCATATGCCTATAGAGATCTAATTTTAACTCGGTAACCTGTACAATAATTTTGTTAGGAAAAAATTACATGTTGACAGTATTAACTTTAAAACTTTAGAGCTTTTGGGGCACCTGAATGGCTCAGTCAGTTAAGCGTCTGCCTTCAGCTCAGGTCATGATCCCAGAGACCCAGGATCAAGCCCCGGGTCTGGCTCCCTGCTCAGCGGAGAGCCTGCTTCTCCCTCTGCCCCTCATCCCGCTTGTGCTCTCTCTCTCTCTCTCAAATAAAATCTTTAAAAAAAATTAAAAAATAGTAAAAAATAAATAAAATACTTAAAAATAATAAGAAAATAAAATTTTAGAGCTTTCTAACAACCTTCCCATCCCCATCTTTTGAATAGTGAAATACTTCTGGGGGGAAATAAAATTAATGCTGCAATACATTAAAAATTCAAGGGGCAGGAGGAAGGAAATTATGGCTTGAAGAACAAATCAACTATTTGATTTGAGGTACTTGAAAACTATCCTTTTTCAAGTACCTCAAAAACTTGTATTTTTTTAAAACTGTGAACTATTTTACCAGTTTACAAATGTTAGAAAGCTCAAACAGTGTGAAAAAACATACCACTAGGAATCAAGAGACTTATTCCTAATCTCAGTTCAGCTGTGTGACTTTGAGCAAATAATTCTTACTGTCTTGGGTTCACCATATGTTCACCTGTAAAATGAAGGGGCTGGGCTCAATCACTTCCATAAACACCCCAAAACTTATATGCAAAATTTTGTGCATATATATTCTTCTAGGGAGAGGGTCAACTGAATTTCAAGTCAATAAACAGTTCTTTAGCTTCAGCAGATTCTCAAAGAGAATTGTGATCCCCAAAATGGTGGTTTGCATCTCCAAGCTAGGTTCAAATCCCAGCTCCACCACTTACTGGCTGTTTGATTATAGGCAAGTTATTCCATTTCTCTAATAACCTCATAGGCATATAATGCACAGAAGTACTTCAATAAGTGTTAGCTAGTCCTGTTATCGAACTAGATATTATTAAAGCACCTATCAGGCCTAAGTTTGAACAATTCTAACATATCCTCTCAGCTATTAACCAGTTCTGACATCCATTCTGGGAAATAATTGTATTATGTCTTTACAGCTAGGAAAAACTGACAAAAGACAAGTTGAGGTACTTTAGTAAGATCAGTCACTGTCACCATCACTTTCAAGCACTTAAAGGTTGGGGCAAGCCTCATGGAAAGAGTAGTGGACACAGAATCAGAAGACCTGGATATGAGTTGTAGTCTCCTGACACTAGCTATGTAACCTTCTCCAAGAACCTTAACCTTTCTGAGCAGCAGTTTTTTCATCTCTAAGACAGATAACACCTGCCTTGCCTACAAACGATCAAATCAGAAATGCAGGCGAAAGAGCTCTGAGAACTACAAAGGGTTACAAATTGCTGTGATCATTTTTGTGCCCTTATGAACCCAGGATGTGTACTAACAGTACAAAAGGACATTAGAGTTAAGAAAAGAAACACCATCGATCTGGTCTTCATTTGGGGATGAATGTAATAGGCCATGTTTAAACTAAATCTTAAATCTCTATTTAAAAGAATTGCTCTAAATAATGGATCTCAGGGTAAAATGAGACGGGAAAAAATGATCAATGGAGTTAAGAAAACAATGAGACTGTAAAAGTTAGTGATAATGAAAGCAAGGGGTATTCACAGCTGGGATTCCCAGAGTCAGTATGCAGAAAAGTCATGACTAAAAAACTAGTCCCTTTATTTCATAATTCAGTCTAGTCATACAACTTTAATTCACCCAGGGACACAACCTGACATTTTTGCAGGAGACAAGCTTAGTTGGGTATAGGCTCTGTAGAGAAAGTCAAGGTAGCTAACTCGAGTAGTTGATTAACATTCTTAATTGGCTGATGTATGTGGTATAATAAATGTGAAAGACAGAAGAACAAGCAGGCAAGGGAGAGATGCAGAAGTGAAAAAGTGTGAGCAAATTCATTACCACTACCGAAAACTTCATCATCACTCCAAAACAAAAACCAAAAACCCTCAAAACTTGTGTTTGGTACACCTGCAGCATCTTTGTATATTTGGAACAATGTTACCTTGGTAACAAAAGCCCAGCAATATATCCTTGATGAGTGGGCACACAGCAAATGCCTGCTGAATAACAAAATAACTGCACTCTATTTCAAATACTTAATGACTTGGTCATTAAGGCAAACTGAAATTTTATACTTTCAAATTATACATTAATTTCAGTGAAATGGTCCTTCCTAAAAGTGTTTCCTACTCAGTAATTACTTTCTAGAAATGGAATATTTTGTTTCAAGCACTTGACATTCTAAAACGATGTATACAAACCTTATATAAGTGATTGTTTAATTACACAATGATGGAACTCAAAATGCCAGAACTTCTCACCCCATAAAAAGGCATTTGCCACTTGTTTCAAAGGGTGCATCTGATGGTCACTGAACAGAGCTTACAGCATGCCAAGTGTTATGGCTGATTCCTTAGTCAGCAGTGACACATCATCACTAGAAAGTACAGATACATTTTCTTTCACATATGTAAATGTCTAGCAAGGCTCTCTTATCTACTAACAGTGACACACAGAGTGAATAAAACATGGAGCACAGATTACTTTCAATTTTCAAAAAAACTAAATACAACTTTTAAGAGGCTGTATATGTAATGTTATTTTAATATATCAAGTGCAGAAACAATACCAAAAAAAAATATATCCCTTCTACTAAATAAAGGGATGAGTGGGACTCTTGTTACATAATGTGTTGCTATAACTGAAAAGATCAAAGATCACACCAAGTCACTGAAAGAGGCAAATTCAAGGTGTAGCAGTTCCAATAGCGTAACAATGTCCTCGGACATAACAAGACTTAAAAACAACTCTAAAAATCAATATATGCCAGCCATCTCTGGAGTCATCAGGGGGTACAAACTGGAGCATTAACCATTGCTTGCATCGGAGAAAAGACAGCAGGGGAGGACGTAGGCACAGCGGGAAAGGAGGTAGGGAAGCTGCTTGAACAGGTCTCAGGTTGGGATGGCCGGGGGTGGGGCTGCGGGACGTTCGCGTAGAGACGTGGCGTTAGGGTGAAATGCGATGCTTAGAAGAGAGTTTGAGTGCTTGCAAGTGTAGGAAAGTAACAAAACACCTCCAGACTGAACGGAAAGAACGGACGAAATCAAAGAAAGGAGGACAGGAGGCCGAGGGGTGGGCAGAATGGGGAGAAGGGTCGGGCGCAGGCGGAGAGAGCCCTGCGGACCAGAGCCGACCTGCAGGAGGGGCTGCTGAGAAGGGTCCACCGCGCTAGTGGTGTGCAGCAGGGACAAGGTAAAGGAGAGGAGAGGAGACGCAAGGCGGGGAGGGGACCCTGGCCCCCCGCCCTCTTTCCCGGCTTACTCCCCGCGTGGGCCCAGAAGGGCACTGTCCCGTCGCTCTGCACCAGGTGCGGTCCCTTGAAGCTGTATTTGTACTCGAAACGGCGGTGTGGCGACGCGGCTGCGTTGCCCGCGGCACCAGCGGCCGCAGGGTCGCCTCCCATGCCGTCGCTCCCGGCGAAGCGACCAAGCGACAGCAGCACGGCGCAGAAAAGAGGCTGAACTCTGGCCAGGGAAGCCCATTGCCTGGATCCCGCCATCTTGGATTCTGGGAAGCGGAGGCCGGCTGGAGGAGGAGGGGCGCGGGAGCTGCGGACGGCCAACAGGGCGCTCGCTGATTGGCGGAGCCCGAGAGACCCCGAGGGCAAGGGTGAGCCCCGCCCCCGGACTCCGCCAGCCCGGCGGCGGACTCGGAGCATGAGTGGGCGGGGCCCCGCGGGAGGGGGCGGGGCCTGGAGGCGGCGCTGTCCGCCAGCTCCTCCCGTCCTCTTTGGGGCGGGAAAAGGTCTCCAATATTCCCTTCCCACGTGACTGGGAGTGTGGGAGGAGCCGACCACATGCCTACCTGCAAGAAGCTTTCTCCTGCCTCATAACCTGCGTTAGAGGTGGAATTACGGAGGGGGCCTGGGTGCCTTCAGCTCAGATCGTGATCCCGGGGTCCTGGCATCGAGCCCCATGCGGGGCTCCCTGCTCCTTGGGGAGCCTGCTTCTCTCTCTCTCTCTCTCTCTCTATCTGTGTCGGTCATGAATTAATTAAAAAAAAAAAAGAGGTGGAATTCCCGAGCCCTAACACCTGTGGACCCACCACATATGTCCTCTCTGGCTGTAATAAAGTGTTCCAGTATTTGTTGTAAGAAAGTAGTTTCTTTTGATGTGATACTGATTGTTCGGTAGCTGGTTTTCATTAGGCGACAAGTCTTTCCAGAAACAAGGGCATAGTTTGGTGGTATGATGGTCCCAGCCCACTAAGCTCCATCAACCTGTGTTAGCGCATTTCAAACAGAGGGCCATGAATATTAAGCTAGGGAGTTTGGATATTGCCCTTGAAAATAGGAAGTGTCTGTAATGGTCTTAAAGGAGAAAAAACGGGGCAGGTTCTTGTTGAGAGAGGACATCTAGGGGAGAGGTGACTAGTGTCTGGAGTGAGACCGGAGTAGGGCAATCGAAACTAAAGAGACAAGAGAACTTGACACAGTGAATGAATTAAAAACATTAAAAATAAAAAATAAAATTAAAAAATAAAACATAAGGGTTTACCTATTTCTCTCCTAATCCCCTTTCATCACACCCTCCACCTTTTACTTCTGTTAAGACCATTTTGTTCAGGGTGGCAATATGTACAGCTGAAATACTCATTTCTCCAGCCTGCAGGACATTTAATGAGAGGTAGGCAGAAATGCCTCAGGAGAGAGTCAGGTACCAAATAAAAAGGTAAAACCTCACTAGGTGAAGGCTTTCCTTTTCCCTGTTTGTACTGCTTCCTGACTGAAATGTGTGTGCAGTGCCTAGACAGCCACAGCCATCTTGTGACCACTAAAAATGATGGCCAAGGAAGCCAGAGGAGCCCCTATCTTTAATGATTTCCTTGAGCTCTCTGGCAGGCCAAGTCTGCCTATCTCCAGACTTCTGTTTTCTGAGATAAGACCCTCACTCATTTAAGCTATTGTTTCCAGGTTTTGTTACCTGCAATCCTAACTGATATCATAGCTCACATGTATTGAGTGCTACTATGTATCAGGCACTATTCACGGTGATAAACATACGTTCACTCATTTAGGAGGATATTAACCCAATATTTTCATTTAACAACAAGGCTTTGCCCTAGCTATTTCATTGATAAGAAATAGTCCTCTTTCTGAAACTATATGTCTATCTTCTGTAAAATAACACGTTGAACATCTTAAAAGTCCTTCTTCAACTTTTTCCCAATTATAAATCAGTCATGAAACGTGAAGGCTTCTTTACGAAAGGATGAGGTTTGGCACCTGGGTGGCTCAGTTGGTTAAGTGACTGCCTTCGGCTCGGGTCATGATCCTAGAGTCCTGGGATCGAGTCCCACATTGGGCTCCTGGCTCAGTGGGGAGCCTGCTTCTCCCTCTGACCCTCTCCCCCTCTCATGTTGTTTCTCTCTCTCTCTCTCTAATAAATAAATAAAATCTTTAAAAAAAAAAAAACGAAAGGATGAGGTTTTACCTTTGGGTCAGTACCATAAGGTTGGTTTTTGTTTTGTTTTGTTTTAATATATGAGTTTTATAAAATATGGTGGAGTGTTGCAAGTGTAGGAAAGTAACAAAACACCTTTAGACTGAACGGAAAGAATGGATGAAATCAAAGAAAGGAGGACAGGAGGCCGAGGGGGTGGGCAGAATGAGGAGAAGAGTCGGGTGCAGGCATTAGAGAGTGGCATCAGAAGGGGGATAGAAATTATGGAAGTCTCTCCCCATCCTACTGAGCCCAGCACAGCGCTGAGAAATGAAGTAGCAGTACTGGGGCTCACTTTGGTGACTGATTCCTTGTAACTCTTTCCTGGTAAAAGGGGCGACTCCTTGTATGCCTCTCCTATGCTAGCAAAAAGTGTCTTAGATGCCAGAAGACTGACCGGACTGTCCCATTTATAAAACCTATGGTGTTGCTTTGCTCTTAAATGAATAAAAAGACCAGAAGCAGATTGGGAGGCATCTTTTCTTCCTGGTCTTCCCACTCATTGAAGTAGCCTTGTGGATCAATGTGTTGTTTTTCCATGATTGGTGATCAATTTCAAAAACTTTTTTTTAAAGATTTTATTTATTTATTTGACAGAGAGATAGAGCCATAGAGCACAAGCAGAGGAAATGGCAGAGGGAGAGGGAGAAGCAGGCTCTGCACTGAGCAGGGAGCCCGATGCGGAACTCCATCCCAGGACCCTGGGATCATGACCTGAGCCGAAGGCAGACGCTTAACCATCTGAGCCATCCAGGTGCCCCCAAAACATTTTTTTTTAACTCATCTACATTACCCTTACCAGTGGTACTCATTCTTATTGGCTAGAGTCAGGGATAAAAATATGTGGTCCATGAGACACTTCAGTAAGCTTATAATAGACCCTCATTTTCACTTAAACTGGAAGTGAATGGCTGGAAAAATTTTCACTTAGTTGCAGCAAATATAGCGTTAAAACTAAGGCCACAGGACAAGTCATTATTTGCATTCATGGATTAACTATTTCAGGGGCCTTGTAATGACTCTAAATCAATCATATTTGATAAGAGTAATAAAAATGATGATATTATCTGCTTGATTCCTCAGTGTGTGATCATTCATTCATGCATGTGTTCATTTGTATCACTCATTAAGCATAATTGAATACTCTACTATACTAGACAAGGCAGCAAGAATATATCCTGTATAGAGAATTCAAATTTAATCTTGGACAATGAGAAAATTAGTATACATATTTTAATAAATGGGATGTTTTGGGCTATAGAAACAAAACAACTCAATTTAAAGTGACTGAAACAATAACATATACTGTAAGTTTTCCCCAGAACCGTAAGTTAGAGGTAGGACTGGGTGCGGGAAGGTACAAGGTTTGGCTGTGCATCTTTGAAATTTCCTTGGCTCTACCTTGTATTCCCTTTGTCCTCGGGCTTCTCTCCAACTTCTAAGATGGCAGCTCCTTCTTCATATTCCATGGGAGAGAGAAAAAAAAAAATCTCTTCCAACCTTGGAATATGTTCTTCTATTC